GCGATGGAGATGTCGGCGGAGATGATGAGGTCCATGACGAGGAAGGCGTATGGCAAGCTCCGCTCAGTGGCGATGGAGGCGCAATCCGCCATGTGGATCATCACAAATTTCGCCCAATTGATGGAGGCGCCGTGGATGATGGCATGAATCGCCTTCAAGTCCTCCTTGAAGAGCGAGGTATGGCTGCTGTCCCGGGGGCGGAGAATCCGGGTGATGATGTAGAGGAAGAGGCGCTTGTCCGGTGGGGCCGAGTGAATCGTCGGTGCGCCGCTGTGGCGGATGAGGTTGGTGATCCCAAGCTCTCGGATGACCACCGCCTCGTTGTTGAGGATCCAATCATCGCCGCCATACGTTGCGATGTCGTCACCGTGGATGGGCAGCCCTGCGACCCGAGCAAAGGTAGGCAAATCAATCTCTATGTCGTAGAGATTGATGCTGCTGCGAATGGTGTCCCCGTCACGGCGGAGATTGGAGTAGAAAGCCTGGACGAAGGCGGGATTGAAGCTCGATCGGCTCTTGGAGACGAATGGCCACAAACCCGATGCTTGGAGTTGGTTGTCGAGGTCGTGGTACCCTTTGTCTTGGGGAAACAACTCCGGGAGCATGCGAGGTGGAGAGATCGGGCGCTTGGCAAAGTGAGTGAGGAAGCGTGTTAGTTCTTCCTCCGAACCGAACTCAAGAAATGATCCGTCCAAATATGGGAACGGAGGAGGCGCGGAACTTGAGGGTTCGGCGGTGCTTTTCTTCTTGGAAGCCTTAGACTTTGATCTTCCTCCGGCCATGATTGAGGCGTTTTTGAAGAAATATTGAGATTTGGATCAAGGAATGAAATTATGATGTTAATGGTGTATTAGAATGAGCAAATATGAGGGATATATATAGGGAATGGGAGATTAGGCCGTTTAGATTCAAAAATATAGATGTTGGGCAATTAATGTGGTGCCCAACGGCTCTGAATTTTTGAAATGCAGGTGCCTGCCCAGCGATGGTAGGATCTACCCATCGATGGGAAGGTCGCCACTCGAAAGCGAGGAAGGACCCAAGGCTGCCTTCCCAGCGATGTTTGGATTTTCCCATCGATGGGAAGGTGGCTTCTGGAAATTGACGAAGAAAAGAGCAGGGCCTCCCCAGCGATGTTAATACCATCCCATCGCTGGTTTGGTAGTTTTGAAAATCCGTTAAAAAATTTAAAACAAATAGTGTCAAACACCCAGCGATGGGAGGAACTTCCCATCGATGGGTTGGGAGGTTCTGAAACAAAAGCAAACACTCACCCAGCGATGGGATAAACTACCCATCGATGGGTAAAGGTGTTCTGGAAATCTGTTAACCAATTTTTTAAAAAATAGAGTTAATAACCCATTGATGGGAGGAAGTTCCCATCGATGGGAAGAGGGGTTTTGAAAGCAAGAAGCTTCCCTCCCAGCGATGGTATAACCCACCCATTGCTGGTTCCCCCTAACTTCCGGATTTCTTCACTTTGGACCGTCCCTGCAAAAACGAACAGCACTTTGGTACCCAAAGTAAGTCTATGGGTCCTTGGGGGTTAGTTTACCTTTATTGCCCACACACACACCCAAAATATGTTTCCATATGCGCACACACACACATACACGATTAAATGATTGTTTAGGAGTTACCTTGGCCAACCCATCGTCTCGTGGTTGGCGGGTTCCAATCTACCTGAACGGAGTGCCGATATCTCGGTGTGATTTGTGTCGGTTCCGGTAACGGAATGTGGACATTCTTCTTTTTGTCAAAGTAGAATAAATAATAAGGTTTCTTTTGTGCATTGTCCTGTGGAGATTGTTTATGATTTGAATATCCTTTTCCAAAGGATTTCTTTTCATTAGCACCAAATACGTTGTGTGTTTCATTGTAGGTGAAGTGCCTATGTCTGGTGAAACACACGGGAGCTTTATGTCCTACCCTATTGCAATAGTGGCATACTACGTTTGGGTTGAACATGTGCCTAGGTTGATAATAGCTAGGGG